CTGGATGCCAAAGGACTTGACGGCGTCAAATTTATGGGGCTTGACTCTCGCTCTCGCTCTCTCGACTCTTGGCATTCCGCGCCAGAATGCAGCACCATTGTCAATATGCCCCAACAATCCACAGTCCCAGTCCCCCCGCCCCCCCTCCACTCGCATCGCATCCCATCCCATATCCCCATTACCGACTGCCTTAAAAGCATTCCACAACATTTTTGGCGGGCGACAATTTTTAGTGCCAAAAATAGTACCATTGAAGAGAGCCAGAAATGCATAAAAATCAAACAACATAAAAAATAAATAAAAGCAGCGACAAATCACTTGAAGGATGTTTGATGGAGCGGGGCGTAAGAGGAGGTCCTTGATGTCCTCCATGCCTCCTCACTAATTAGTTTACAGATGGGGCGCGGAAACGAAGGAGGAAGCAGAAACCGCAAGAACAAGGGAGAGAAATGAAAGAGAAAACATTAGAAAAATAAAAAAAATTTCAAAGACTTTGGGAAATACCCTTGCAGAGAGAATATTTCTGATAATAGATCTAGAGATCTATGATATATCTCCCAATTTAGCTTTAAAAGCATTATATGGTCTCTAAGTGTGAAGTTTTTGGTATTATTATCTGGTGATAATTGGTTTCATCAATTTTTTATCGAGGCACTTAATTAATACACATATTTAGTCGAATTTTATATAACACTGAACTTTATAAAGAGTATCTTCCTAATTGATACACAAAATATGGATTCTTTAAAAGAGAACAGCGATCATTTGAACATGATCTACGAAAGATGAGCTAAATATTAAGGCATCGTAACAAGGTCTTTATTTAGGATCAAAGATTAAAGAACGCATGAGGATTTTCAGAGAAAAGGAAACGAGGTGTAACAAAGAGAATTAGATGGTAGGGTAGATCCTGAGAGTGTATTACAATTACAATTACATTCCTCTTGCCAGCAGAAAATACCAGAATACCCTCTGGTTAGGGCATGATAAATCAATGACAGATGATGGCTGGAGCAGACAGCAAACAGCATTCAAGAGTGCAACAGAGTTGGCAGAAGAGTAAGTGAATAGTACTAGATAGCCATACAACATGTGGGCCTGTCACGGGGCTCTACTTTGGAAGGCCTTAGCTATTTTAATTGGGCTTAGGTATTTTGGGGAGTAAACTAGGTTACTAGAATGGTTCTTTTGGTTCTAAATGCAATTCAATTAAGAAACATAAAGCTTTGGAGATGAAAACTATATTCATTAAATCCTTGTTCAACATGTCTTTCATCTTCTTTAATTAAATTAAAGCAGAAATGTGGCAATCGTTTTTTTTTTTTTTTTGTGCGGTTTCAGCGAATTGAATTTCCATGTTCGCACGTTTTTGTGCGTTTAATTTGGTTTTTCAATTTGTAAAACAGTCAAAAGCAGGCAGCCAGCAAAGAAACTAAAATACTATAAGCAGAAAGAAAATTTTCCTTATTTTCCAAAGTGTGGAGTGGGGGAAACTAAACTAAATTGTTCACCCGCTGCATTCTTCATTTTTTGCGCAGCACTTTGGGGCAAGCAATCTTAGAAACGAATCAACTGAGGGAGAGACAAAGAGAGAGAGAAATGTTTTAAATGCTAAACATGCAAATAGTACTTATATATGTATTTGTATATATTGTTATCTATGTACAATCATCTCCAAAGCTTTATGTTTCTTAATTGAATTGCATTTAGAACCAAAAGAACCATTCTAGTAACCTAGTTTACTCCCCAAAATACCTAAGCCCAATTAAAATAGCTAAGGCCTTCCAAAGTAGAGCCCCGTGACAGGCCCACATGTTGTATGAATACTCTCTTCTCCTTGTCGTAAAAATTTGCATTTCCCTATGGGAATGCACATGTTTTAATTATGTAAATAAATCCTTTAGGGAATTTAGCTAGCAGGTAAATGTTAATTGTATTCTGTTTACATCTTCAAGCCGATCAAAAACAACATTATGCTGCCTCTCCCTCCAATCCACATGGGCTCTGCTCCTTCTTGAGGATTAGTCCAAGACTCGACTCTTGCTATAATTGTCCAATGATTCGTCCCAGTAGGTGTAGGGTTCATTATCTATCAAGGCTCATCACATTCTAAGCAATTGTAATGTAACATTCCCTTTATCTGATTATAAGTCTCTCAGAAATATCTGCGCGCCTCTAATACTCGTATACTATATTTATACTACGCCTCTCTTGCTCTAATCTTAATGATTTAATACTTACAACACTATAGACCTCTCCCTCTATCTTATACATTGTAGGACTAAAAAACACCATACTCCTCTCGCTCTATCTTATAAGCTGTAGGCTCTAGAGTATAGGCTTTAACACTACACTCGCCTCGCTCTAACCTCGCTCCACGTTTTCTTCTAGGCACACAGCTACTCACCTTTCCGGGGGGAGAGATCTCTCTATTCACCGCAGTTTTCTTTCTAATTTCACTAGTCGTTGGTTTTGTTGAGTTAGAAATGTTTTAACCAAAACTTTAGTTTTTAACTAACACACGTCCTACGGAGACGTCACAAAAGATCACATGAGAAAAAACCAGAGCAAAAAGTTAACATATTTTAACCGTTACACACGGGGCGATTTGAAATCACGTCTACCGTTATGGCGGGTATTTTTCGTATTGCGATTTCGCTCTTGTTGGTCCGTTCGGGTGCTCTTTGGTCCTGTTGTGTGGTGCGCTGCTTGCTCCGTTGGCAAGCGAACGCTGGCGTTGTCAATGCTGAACTGTTGGCTGCTACTTGTGGCATTCATCGTCCTCTGGATGCCAACGCAAAAAATAAGAGGAGCTGAACAAAAAAAAAAGAAAAACAACCGACACACACGCATGGAAGAGGCGCCACAGCAGCAGGCAGCAACAGAGGCAGAGAGAGGCGCCAGCACACGAGCAACAATGTGGATGTCGTGCCGTGGTCGTGGTCGTGTCGTGTCGTGTCATCCCCCTCTTTCGAGGGAGCCGATTCATTTCGTTGGATTCACTGGCGAATTCGCTGCCGCTGCAAAATTTGTCTGCTGGGTAATGGAAAAGCTCCCTCTCGCTGCACACTTTGCTGCGAGCCAAATGCCGGCTTCAGAGCGAGAGCGAGCTAGTGCTCACAGCTGCTCTCTTCCGCTCTCTGTGCTTTACCGGTGCATTGGCAAGCGTACCAGTGAGCGCAGGGTGATGCAGGAGTCCGATGGAACATTTGAGCACTGCAAAAACCACAACCTATGCATATATCAGAGCGCCCAAATTTGAAATAACATAATTTTCCACGTGCAGTCAGATGATAATAATTCCATATACTGCAATCTTAAGAAAAAAAAACAAAACTCTATATATGTAGATGAAAGCCCTGATGTAGGGTTGGTTTCTCCTAGAGGGTCCCAAATTGATTCGAATTTCGTAGAAAAGATGCTCATCTGTTGAATTAAGACTTGGTTTCCCCCCAGAGAGTCATATAATAATGACGTCAGACTGGAATCTCGCTAACGGAGAGCGCCACCCTGCATCCTACAATTTGCAAAATAGAATTTTGCCACTCCTTGGCACAGTCCTGTCGAAAATTATTCACGCATTCTTTGGATTTGTTTGGTTTGTTTTTTTTTGTTGTATTTTTTAATTAATTCATAATAAAAGTTTCTATTTTTCGGTTTTGTTGTTGTTGTTTTGTTTGTTTGTTTGTTTCGACGCTTAGCTAATATATTTATTATATATTATTTATATGTATATCTACAATAGTTATTAGCATTATCATTAATAAACTGCCTTTTTTATTAATTTATTTTTTGTTTAGGGCCATTTCCCCATTCTTATGTGGATTTGTGTGGTGGTTGTGTATGTGGATTTTTTCGACAAGTTTTTCGATTTTTAAGATTAGAGAAAACCCCGATTAGTAGTATTCTCTTGGGACCGACTCCTGCCGGCGCCGCCCCACCCAATCCCTCCTCCCCTTTCGATTGCTTAAATAACCAAAAAAAAAAAAAAAGGAAATGTTTTTTTTTATAAATATGTATATATAGCGGAATATCTATATATTCATTTAGAAGTAAATATAAAGTTTTTATGTAGGCTTAAATGTAAGGTTATCCAAAAAAAATTATACTAAAAAAAGTTCATTATACATAATTATGCGGGGAATTGAAACGGAAAAAATATAATAGTATATCCTTAAGATACAATTTATAGCATCATAAAATAGTTAACTTAAGTAATAAGAAAATTTTGATGGGATGGTTAATGGGCGGGGTGGACGTGTGGCGTGTGTGTGTGTGTGTGTGTGTGTCTGGATCGTGTGGCATGTGTGTGTATGTGTGGGATCTCTAATAACTATAGACACTTTTCATGATCAAATTTTTGAACATCGGGGTAAAACAATTGCACTTATCAAGAGCAATTATCCATGTCCTTCCATCAATAACGATTCCCCAAAAACAAACGAAACATTTCACTCTCTCTCTCTCTATATCTCTGCGATACTGCATTAGAAATAAATATTAATCATTTGCTTAAACAGTTTGGTCAAAGCTGAACCGAACAGCTTGGTGTTTTCTTTGTTTTGTTTTTGTTTTTATTTTGGGGGGGGAGGGGGTTTTATGGGGAAACATAAAAGTGTTTCCCCTTTGCGTTCCTCAAGCTGTTCTACAAAATTACTTGTGAGAGAAGCAGAGAGAGCAGGGGCCCCCCGGTTGTGGTATGTAGTTCTCTCTTCTCTTGTGTGAATCTTTAATTTGTAATGTTTTGTTTTTTTGTTTTGTTTTCCTGCTAACGAAGGCTGAAAGCGTGTGGAGGATTCGACTTGTTAGACTTGACTCGCATTTTGGTTGTGTGTCCATTCATCATCATCATTATGTTCATACAATATATATAGATGCTGCTTTTTGTTTTTGTAAATATACATTCTTTATATACTCTATTTCATATATATATATATATATATGTATATATATATATTTATATATAATTTGTATATAGTTTAATTTTTGCTTTTATTGCAGTTGAGTATACTATGTTGACTTTTTGTTGGTGTTCTGTTCTGTTGTTGTTGTTGATTTCTTTTTTGGTGTTTTTATCTTCGATTCAATTCGATTTCGAGGCTATATTTCTATTGCTTCTTGATTGGTTTTCGATTTGTATATATATTGTAGTCATCTTTCTTTATTTTTATTGGTTGTTGGTGTTTGTTGGTGATTTTTGTTTGTTGAGTTTCTTCCTTTCGCTTCTTTGCTTCAATGTTTTTTAATTTATTATTTAATTTACGCTTTCTTGCTAATTATAAATTATGTTTTAGTTTTTGTTGCAGTTGGTTTTCTTCTTGTTGAACAGCTTATTTTTTCCTCTTGTTGAACAGCTTGTGTTTTTTTTGTATATATCTTGTTGTTGAAAACTGTTTTCTCGTTGTTGTAGAGCTCTTTTGTTTCTCTCGTTCCGGATCTCTGTGGATCTCTTGCGCGGCAGCCGAGATTTGTAAAATTGTGCCGCCATTGTGCTGCTGCCACCCACAACGGTGACACATGAGAGTTCTCGCGCATCACAAGAGAGATATATCCATTGTGTGGTTTTTGCTTTTGGGGTGGCGGGTGATGCGTCGCCTAGTGTTGAGAGTCGAGTCGAGTGGAGGAGCAGAGCAGCAGGATGCACGTGTGTGTGTGTGGTGTCATTGTTGGCCCCTTCCCACCCACAATCACCATCGTAGTCCCCGCATCATCGCCAAAGTGGGAGATGGGGGGAGGGTGCGATCAAAAGGCAATGCTGCTGGGTGGGTTCTGGGCATTTCATCAACACATCATCGCAATCATCATCAGCTGCGCCAGAAAATGCTCTTTTTGAGCCTGACAGACAGCTTGCGATGCACGCGCAGCCTAACCTGCTCCTGATCCTAAGTATCGTCAGACATAAACGCGTTCTGAGTCTTCGACTCCTCAATCCGTCGGATTTGCTGCCGCAGATACATGATTCTGTAAAGCAACAAAAAATACAGGTAGAGAGCGAGTAAGGAGTATAGAGATTATGGGGGGCACTCACTTCTGTTCCTGGAGTGTGGCATTGATCTCGGTGCTGCGCACTAGACTCCGGGCGCATTTCAGTTCCGCGCAAATTCTCGTGCAGGTGATATCCCCAAAGAGATGCGTATCCTCGCAGCATTTTTGCGCCTGCAACAAGGTACCAAAATGAATCACAAATGCTCAACAAGAGACGAGGCAGGGGGAAAGGGAGGTTAAATCAGGTAATGAGGAGCTCAAATCAAAATAGAAATATGTTCATGTGTTATTGTACGACCATATCCTACCTCAAAGCTTACCTGACGCTCCAGTATCTCAGCCTGCCAATTGGTCACATGCGCAATCAAATCAGCGCGAAAGTATTTGGCCAACTTTGGCGATATCTCCGGCCCCCGCAGATTTGCCGCCTGCACTGAGGAGCCCACACAGCTCTGCAATGAGCTAAGTGCGCCCGAGGCCCCATCCACTACAGGTGAAAGCGAGAGTATTATTGTTAGGGTATTGGGAATCAATCACAAGGGCCTCCAGGGTCTGTACTTACACTTTCGCTGCTGTTGGGCCTGCTGCGCCGCCTGCTGTTGCTGTTGGACTGAAGCCTGGGCCGCTGCAAGGGCTGCCGCAGCCATTGTGGCGGCCATCGCCACCTGTTGCTGCTGCTGCTGTTGTTCTAAAGCTGAGCTTAAATCTAATTCCATGGTAGGTGTGGGCGGACCACCATCCCCAAGCGACATGACGCCCGCTACACTGTTGCTGCCCATCGAGGTGATCACACTGATCCCACTGACGGCCCCAAGGCCGGGTACAATATTTTGGCTGTTACCATTACCGCCACCGCCCGGCGTTGCCGGTGAGACACCCCCGTCGACAACAGTCTTGATCGGGCCATACGTCGCCTGGCAGGTATATGAATTTCCAATAATGCTGGCCATATTGGCGGCATTCACAACCGTTCCTGTGTTCGTGATGCCCACAATCGTTGGTATGGGACTCTTGGTGTAGTTCAGCGGGGGCGACAGATTGTGATGGGGATGCGACATGTACAGTGGGGAATTGATGCTGTTATTGTCCCTGTCGTAAAGAAGGAATGTTGAGTGTTAGAGCACTTAGGAACGGAGGAGAGCATCGGACTTACCTTAAGCTGTTTAAACTATTGCCGGCGACTGAATTATTGACCGAATTGTAGGCGTGATTCACCAATGCATCGGACCCTGAAGCATTCACAGATGAGTTGTGTTGTCCATGGTCGTGCACGCTCATACCCAAATGCATCTTCTGGCGTCCCTTGCTGCTGCCAGGCGGCAACGGAGCATTCGAGTTTAGGTGATGCTGGTGTTGGTGCTGCTGCTGGTGGGGATCCTGATTCGACAGCGTTGGCACAGTTGTCTACAAAAGTGATTAATCGATTATTAAAAGCAAAAGCAAAAAAGAAGAGGGAATCCCCTCCCCTGCCCACTGCTGCCCTCTCGGAGTGACTTACGCTGGAGGTGGAGCCTATGTGGCCGACAACTGAGTTTCTAAGGCTGCTGCTGTTGCTGTTGCTGCTGCTATTGGCAATGCTTGGCGGCACCGAGGAGAGTCCGCTGGTGGGCAACATGGTGGCACCGGTTACGGGTCCCCCGCCACCAGGCCCACCACCGCTGTAGTGCATCGCAGCCGCTGCCGCTGCTGCTGCCGCTGCTCCTCCCATTGGCGCTCCTCCAGCTCCCGAGGAGCTCCCGGTATTTGGATGTGACGCCAGGCGAGGCAGTGCATTACCCATGGGTTGATCCATTGCGGCATTGCTGCCGTTGCCGCCACCGCCGCCGCCTCCTCCTCCACTCATCCCGGTGCCGCCATGCGTGGTGGGGGTGCCGCTCAAGGAATAGCTGGCCTCTGAGGTGGGCGTCGAATCTCCGCTAATATCCATATCAGCATTCTCGTTATGTCGACCTGTTGTTTGGTCAGAGACTTGCATGAGAAACGTAATCCTGCATTAAGTTTCGGGGCCAAACATACCATCCAAACGTCTCCGATGACTCGGCGGGCCCACGTCATCATTGTAGCTCCATCTCAGTCGTGTATTATCCCGCGAAGAATTGGAATGTTTGTATGCTGTAGGAGAGAGAGAAAAGCCATCTAAAAAATCTGCATATGGAAATGGATGTCCCCCAGAGACTTACTCGACCTGCTGAAGCGATCATCGCGATCTCGGTCACGTTCCTTGTCGCGATAGTCCTTCTCCCTATGCTGATCACGCGGCAAATTCCTACGAAAACACATAATACATGAATAAAAGGGTTTGATTGCCAGAGAGATGATGCTTACCTTTCTCTGTCCACCCATTCCTTTGGCTTCTCCCACTGAGAAATTTCCGTTTTGCAGTTGTAATAATACATTTTTCCTGCAAGAGAAATAGAGAGAACACGGATTAGGCGGTCATCAACCGAAGATAGCTCCATCCCATTCCACTCACCCGACGAGCTGACATGTTCACTCCAGTCGCCATAGCGCGCCGTACGCTCGCCCCTGTCGCTGCGATCGCGCTTGTCTGGAGAGGAAGAGAAGAGTAAATTGAATAATTATACGAGCAAAAGAAGGATTAAGTGCCACTCACCTGCATACTTATCCTTCTTGTACATATCCCTGTCCCGATCAGAGCCACGATCTCGCTTGTCGCGCATATCGCGCAAATCACGATCTCTCTCCCGATCGCGATCATCAGAGCCGGAACGCTTGTCGTTCTCGCGGGAGGAGCAAAGTTTGCTGGCACCGCTGCCACCGCCACCGCCACGACGATCCCTGTCATGATTAGTGCGATACGATTCCGAGTCCCGATCGTTGCCACGTCGATCTCTTTTATCTGAATCGGGAAGATGCGGTCATGAGAATATATGTGGCTTGTAAGGATGTGTAGCCGTGCAGCCGGTCCGATCACTTACCGGAATATTTATCCTTCTTGTAGACATCACGATCCCGATCGCGCATCTTTTGTATGAAGCTGTATCGCTCGTTGCTACCGCCACGACCACTGCCGCCACCACCGCCGTTGCCGCCGCCACCGCTGCCGCTGCCCCGATGATCGTTCCGATCCCGCAGATCGTGTGATCTCGATGAGGGGGAATCGATGTCGGGCGATTGGGAGCGATAGCTGTTGCCATTGTTTAGTGGGCCGCCGCTGCCGCCGTTGCCGCTGCTGCTGCCACCACCTCCACCGGTGCCGCCGCCGCCGCCTCCACCGCCGCCGCCACTGCCACCCGGCGAGAGGTCGCGATCGCGATAATTGGAGGAACGATCACGTTCATAGTCGCGCTTTGAACTGCTGTACTTTGAGCTCTGAAGAGTGCGGTAGAGTGTGGAGACGGGAGTGTGTGGGAGAGTAGAAGAAGTACATTTGTCATATATAGATTGTTATTGTGGGTCTCTAAAAAGCTGCGGATGGATGCGGATGCACTAATGCTCTGCTCTGATTACGTTTTGTCTTTTGGTTAGTTGGTTAGTTGGTTAATTATTAATTATTAAGTCATGGCTATATGGTTACGGTTGCGGCTTTGCTGCGTGGGGGGACGGGGGGCAAGTACTTCGGTTAGTTGTCAAAAATAACTAAATTCTACGCAATGGTTCAACTAATAGTCTTATAAAATATATATAGATATAGTGACAAAATAATACGAGGGTACGGAGAAACGGAATGCAAGAGAAAAATGCATCTACTATTATTGCCAATTTGTGTTTTTGTTTGTCTTGTGAGCGAATAAATAAAATGCCAATATGCCAATGTATATATATATAAACGAAAAAGGAAATGAGATAATATTATATTAGATTTGTATTTAAAATTATATGCAATTTTGTTGTGGTTACAATTTGTTTCGTTTTTTTTTTTTTGTTTTTTTTGGTTTGCAAATTTTCTTTTCGAATTCTTTTGCACTGAAAACGTAACGGTAAAAATAACGAACAAACGTAGGAGCGAACGAAACTGGAACGAAGGAACGGAACGAAATGGTAAACGAAACTTAATTTGCGGGGAAATTATAAAAATTCATACGAATTTTGTTTTGTTTTTTGGTAAAATATTTTTTTGGGAATTTTTTTTGTTTTTTTTTTGGTTGGTTTTGATGGATGCGTCTGCTGTTGCTGGCTCCTTCTTCTTTGCTTGCTTCTGCCGCTGCCGTTGCCGCTGACGCTGATGCTTCTGCTACGTATATTATCCCGTTTAATCCTGCCTCTCCTTCTTACTCCCACTCTCTCTTCTCTCTCTATCCTCTGTCTGTCTCGCTTTTACTTACATCTAGGCGGCAGAAGCCAACAGCTGACGTAGACATCGACGTCAATGCTGCTGCTGCGACGGCGCTCTTGCTGCTGCTGCCGCTGACGCTGTTGCTGCTGCAGTTCGCTGCCGCTGCCACCGAGAGAGACAAATCAACGGCCATGTTGTTGCTGTTGTTGTTGTTGCTGCTGCAGCTGTTGTTGTTGTTGTTGTTGCTGTTGCTGTTGCTGTTGATGCTGCTGTGGTTGCCGCTGCTGCTGCTGCTGCTGTTGCCCCTCATCGATGACTTACTGCTCCTCCTGCCCAGGGGCCGCCTGATCCTGATCCTCGTCCTGGTCCTCGTCCTAAAGCTGATTAGGATATCAATGTTGTTGGATTTCTTGTATAAACTTTGGATTTTTAAAACCGCAGAGTAAGCTCTGCTTTCCGTCGTCTTTCCGGTTTTTCGCTCCTCCTCCTGCTGCTCCTTCTCCTTTTTTGTCCTTTCCTTTCTTGTTCTCGTTCTCTCCTTTGGCTTTTCTTTCGGTATGTTTGTTGCGGTTGTTTTAATTGATTGTTTCTTTTGTTTTGTTTGAGGCACGTTCGTGTATTTTGTTGCTATTTTGTTGATAGTTTCTTTTTTGTTTTCCTTTCCATTTTCCTTTCTTTAATAGTTGCTATTTGCTTTTGGTTTTTTTAAGGCTACTGATTTGATTAAGATTTGGTTTAGGCAGCTCTTAGTATTTGTTGTGCGTTTTAGTTATTGCTTCTAGTAGTCGTATATATATATATAGATATATATATACCAATCTATATACATATATATAATGTATAAATATGTATATTTTTAATAGTTTAATAAATGGAAATATTCGATTTGTATAATTGTTTAATAATAACTTCTATAGAATATTTTTAGATCTCGGCTTAAAGCATTTCTCCGGCTTTTGTTTGGTACATATTTCTGTTTTCCGTTTGATATATTTTCAGATTAATATTTTATGGCGCTAAATTTTTCGTAGGATATTTTGTTCATTTTTTTGTTTGTTTGTTTTTTTTTTCTTTTTTGTATTATTCCGTTCGGTTTTTAGTTTTAAAATTTGCAGTAAATATATATATATATATGTATATATGATTTGGCGTTTTGTTTTTTGCTTTTAGTTTCGAAGTAGTATATTTTCTAGGCGCTTTCCAGTTTCGTTAATAGTTCTTGCTATACGGTATATGTTTTTGTATGCTATATAGATTCGTTTCTCAATTTCAATATCAGTTCGGTTGGCTGCAATGCCGCGTGTTCCCAATGGGTTAAAATGAAACGGTTTTTGTCAGTTCTAGAATGGATGGTGTGTGGGGGGGGGGGCTTAAGGGTTTCAGAGGTGTCTGGTGGATGGGGCTAGTGTTTCTTCACATTTGGATGCACACGCACACGCACACAGACACACAGATAGGTACACACAGACACGTGGGAGGACACACACATCGATAAATCAAGGAAATCGAATTTTGGGTTTATGTTGTCTAAAAATCAAACCATTTATCAACGCAAAAATTAGATATTCGGCGGGTTTGGGGGGGGCTTCTACATAAAAAAACTGGGATGAGAACTGGATGGATTTGCATTGGCTTTTTGGCTCTATATACATATATACACACACATGACCACTAAAAAACTACTTGTTAACACTAGCCTACAAAGCGAAAAAAACAAAACAAAAACAAATGCAAAATAGTCAAGCAACCGAATCTCAAAATACGATACAAAAATATACATCAGGGGGCGGGCGGGGGTTTGATTAGTATTACGAGTAGTACTATTTTTTGTATTTTGTTGTAGTTGGTTTTTCGTTTGTTTGGATAATTTGGATTTAGTTGGTATTTGGTTTTTCAGCTGTATTATCAAGACACGGGAACTGTCTGCTCACCTGGTAGGAAGTGTGACTGGTATGCTTCTCAAAGTACCTGCAGAATTAAAGATAAAGAGAGGATATATAAGGATTAGTTGATATACCATAACTGATGAATTTTATGTAAAAAACTACACACACAAAAACCACACTAAATTCTCTTAATGATTTTTCTACATCCATTCTTTGTATCGCGCCATTGCGTTTTTTGCGAACTCACAAACGTTCAAAAGTTAAATAAATAGGAATAAGCAACACATAAACATAACAAAAAGAACTAAAGGTAAATGGCAAATGCAAAACGGTAAATGTGAATAGGAATCTCTTTTTCGTATGACAGCCAGCTGAGCCGGTGCGAGCGAGAGGCAGCTAGCGTGTGGTGAAAATCCAAAACACACACGAACAACTGGAGAATGAAGAATGGGCGATAAATTACAACTAAACTTCACTTAAAAATGAATGAAATTATTTGTTGTATGGCCAAAAATCATAACAATATGAAATCGATGAATGACCCCAAGTATTGGTACGGACGGTACGAGATGAATGAGGGAGGGGGCCGCTACGTGCATTGCCACACAGAACGTAAACAAAAAATATTCAATTATGGGTTTGCCACTACGCATGTGTGTGTCTGTTCCTGTGTTACCAGCCTGCATGTGCAGTTGCATTTGCCAATGTGTGTGTGTGTGTTTGTCTCTGTGTGTGGGTGTTAGTGTTATTGGAAATCGTACCCATCGTTCATACGCTGCGGTTTTCTAGCATGCATTACCATCAATGCAAAATTTTCGCCAAATACGCTGCTTCTATTGTGATTGTTGTTGGTGGTGCCTCCAATCCCGCTCCAATGGCAGCGTAGTGCTCCTCCAGCTGCTACTGCTACACCTGCTCCTGCGCTCAGTGTGACAATGCTGTTGGCATCAACTGTGTGGAACGTTTTCTTTCTGTCGCCAAACTGGGTCTAATTATGGATGGGTTCCGGTCTCTGTCCTTGGGTACTTCCTTCGGCTTTCCTTGCCTTTTGTTTTGCTTCGCCTGCTGCTGTCTTTTGTGGCGGCTAATGTTTCTTTTTCGGGGCTTTGCCGCCTCCTTCTCACCTGCCAAGGCACACGCTTGTAGTTGTGTAGATGTACATATATATGTGTGTGTACGTTAGTGTGTTAGGGGCTCTCTCAACGCGGGCGTGTGCGTGTGTGTTTCGCCGTTTAGAAGCCGTTTATCGGCTTTAATTTTTGCCTCCTGAAATAACAGAACCAACATCAGCTATTTCTGTTTTATTCCTGGGAAAATGGTTAATTTTATTTGGAAGAATGCATAGCGGCTTGCACTTTTTTCACTGGATGGTAAGTGCGCTCGCATATGTGTTTGTGTGTGTATGGGTGTGAGTGCCGTTGTCGCTTCTTCGTATTTTTCTTCGCTTCTTTGGGGTCGCCTCTGGTCTAATTAGCTTACCGCAATTTGCTTACCGCTCGCATGCACAACGCATTACACGGTGCATTTAGTTGCTAAGAATATAAATTACTTTATAATTCGCCCCCGACTGCTGCGTTTGGTTTGGCCTCTATACTTGATGATTTTTTTCAATTCTTTTACATTACGCTTTGTGCGGTCTGTTCGTCGGCACGGCTGTGTTGAGTTTGACAATTCAGCTTATATACTCATCTCGCTTGCACTCTGCCTGACCAAGCAGGCATTTCCCCTGCCAAAGGTGATAGCTGCGCGAACGACAAGGCCAGAAGTATGTTGAAACATTTTAGTACTCGTGGTGAACACCAGATGTCGAAAATAATCCAATGCAACCCTGCGTGTCACTCATTTCATGTCAAAAATAGGTAAATACAATTTAAATTTCATTTAGCTGCATTAGATGAAAAACAAACAAAATTGTTATTAATATTTTTAGCAACCAGCGCATTGGGAAATGGTAGTCGTCTGAGCATTGCCTAAGTTATTTTTGATACTATTAGATTTTAGTCTGTTACTGTAATATATATAATAATATATATATATCGAAAATATACCACAAAATTAATCAAATATACCAGTCTCACAAAATTGTGGAACTATGTATGGTAATATACCTTGATCTCAACAAGGTATTTTACGGTATATCATGGTATATTGCATTAATATCATCAAACTGCAAATTTTTATTTTTTGAATGTAAATAAAAGAACTTAGTTTTTTTTAATTTCTCTCACTCAAATTTGTCTTTCCCAAATTTATTCGAACGGATTGCATTCGTATAGACTAGTGCTCAGGTTAAATAACTTTTTTGCCGACAAAATTTGTCAAATATATGCTTCTCGACGTAGAGTGTGACCAGGTGCACATGATCCAGAACACTGTTATGCGGTTCTATTACAAAAAAATCAGTTAAAAATTCAAACTTGAATTTGAAGAACGAAAATGCAAGGAGAGGCCACCGCAATTGCTAGAAAATTATCATGTTTTTGTTTAGAGCGAATACCGGGTATAAAATAAGTAAATTAAATTAATTCGTCGAAATATCATTTGTTGCTTTTGAAATATTAATTGGTATGTCTTTTTCCGAATCTGAGTATTCGTTTGCCGAATAAAGTTTTTATCGGTTCCGTACGAATATCATCCCTGATTTTGTCGACAAACAATTTAGCTGATCAGAGAAAGGTTAACCCATGTCGACCAGTGGGTATTGAAATACAAACAGTATTATTTTCCGCCTCTTAACTCAACTTGTTCACCGGTTATAATAGAGGGGCGTTAAGTGGGCTAAGCTCATTTTTTCATTGGTATATTTCGGCTTATTTCTGCAACCTGTCTATGGAAAGGTATGGACGTACATATGTACCTCACCTCGCCATGTTTGATCAGCAATCTGCCATGCATATTAAAGCATTTTTATAATCTTCATGGTATGTTGGGCAAAAGGGGTGGTGTTTACCTATCCATGCGTTGCATTTTCTGCGCCATTTTGCCTATTGTCCATACCTTCTCGTCCCTTAGCCCAGCGGGTGGACTTGAAGGAACGCAAAACCATTTACGGTATATTATATACCTTTCGTTATATTTTGACGTCAATATTGAGCAAAGGTATATTTATGATATATCGGTATATAATAGTATATATTATAAATCTCACAAATCTATTTTATATTCTTTCATATAATTGACACTAATTCAATTTTAAATAAATTCGCTTTGGCGCGCACCACCCGTATTCAGAGTCTATTAATTTCGTTTCAAATCAGCTTGGATAACAGAATTTTAATATATTTAAATAGGGTATTAAAATGTCCACACTCATAGCGGATACCTGTTGACCATCAACAATGACGTAACATTCCATACACACTTACGTTTCATTCCGTACCCACTTACGTTTCGTGCTTTGACTCTATTTGCTTAACCTTTTTTAGAAAAATGCAATAAAAGGGAGTACATAACATTATCATATCTTGTGGAAAATTGTTCTATCACTTGGATAAAAATATGTCTTCAGGACTGAGGGTCTTATTTAGCTAGCAATATTGAACCGAATATCGAGGAATATGATTTCCAATCGTGGACAAGGCACATTAACCCATTGTAGACCATTGGGTATTACTTTGAATAACATCCCTAGTTTTGGTTTGGCTCTCTCGCTCTTTGAAAGTTTTATCTAAGAAAAAGTAATTAAAGAAGTAAAATATTATTTAATATTTTGTTATTTGTGGGTAGATACCGTGTGTTTTTTGGTTTGTTCACTCTTTCACATGATTGTGTGCTGCGTATGTATGAGGCAGAGTGAGTTGGGACTTGTTGGCCGAAGCGCGTTAAAATTTATTAAAATTTATTTTCCTTTGAAAACTCCTGCAGATTTTTCAAGGCATGAGACCGCCGAGACCCAGCAATTTCATCACCAATCACATTTATCTGTCCCACAACAACGACTACGATCGCAACGTAGAGAAGGTGAGGAGTGCCCCAACAAGCATGTCCGTGCTGCACATTTATATGTTCCTGCTTTCCTGCAGCTATGCGAACGCGCCACGCTCCATAACAAGCGAGTGATGCTCATCACAAGCCGAAAATACCCTTTGCCGAGGGAGCACGATGGCCGCCAGACCGCCGCCAAGGGTCGCATCAGTGTTTGCCGCCTGATTGACATCGAGGCGACGCCGCAACAATTGCTGGACCTCCATGACGGATACCAGCCGTTCCACGGCCTTCCAGATCTCATCATCTTTGATTTGCATTCCATAATTGCGGAGGTGCTGCAGCGGCCCGTGATGCAGCAGTGCTCCACCGACAAGCTGGTGCGCCACATTGCCAAATGTTCGGCCGCCTTTGCAAATTATCGCGAGCTCGTCTGCAACGAGTGGCTCGTGGCCGGCGAGGGCGGCAAGTCAGTGACTGAAAATGGGTCCCATGGAGTGGACACCATAGTGGTCATGTCGCAGGAGTCATATCCCATGACGCCGGCCCAGTTCAAGCTGCTGATGGGTCTCTATTTCTGGGGCAACGAATGCTACACAAGCTTCTCCAAGCTGTCGGCCCAGATCTCGATCTCGCAGGGACTAACCACCTAACCGGATGGAATGTATGGCACTGTACACCGAAAGTGCCTTGGACGCTACCCCGTGTCGTCCGTTCTGTTACCCAAACAGAATCGTCTTAAAAACTAGTTCCTTCAACAAAAACATACTCGTACATATCCCCTACAGCGTCAGTTTTTGAAGCAGAAGTAGCATATACTATATACATTATATACATACTCGTAGATATTTACACCTCGAGAAAAACCTACATGGCATCCATGCAAACTGTTTATATGAAAACCACTTGAATCGAATGATCGATTGGAGGCCCAAGACTTGAAAACTTTAATCTAAACATTAAAATTACCAAAAGCTAAAAATGTATGATAGTGTAACTGTTATATATATTTATCCGCCATATATATACACATGTACATCTACTATAAATTCCAATTAAAATCTCAATATTTGCAGATAGTACGTCTCGTGGTCCTATGTTCTTTATTCTTTGCGACTGCTTCAGGCAGGATACGCCCTTAAGAGGTGTATGATGGGTGATAGCTGCCGATTTCCGTACGATTGAAAGCTTCGGCGGAGATTTCGCAGTTCCGCTCTGGGCGACTTATAGCTTCGACTGGGAGCTCTCAAGTTCGGCTTACTTCGGGTCCGCAGCGAAGCCGGCTTTCACACACAATATGTTCTTACAACATTATTGTTCTTACAGTATTAACTGATAGTGTCTGGTAGCATGTTGAGGAGCGCTGTTTGAATTTCATTGGCAGTTTGACTGGAGACTGGTCGTATGCCAGTACATAATGAAACCACAAGTTCAAAAATGGTTGCCGAGAGAAGCAGAATATTCTGTAATTGGCTGCTCCTGCTCCTGGCTGGCTCGAAATTTGATTGCAAAGAGCAGGGGAAGTGAAATACTTACCCTGAAGAAGTCCAAGCTCTCTCCTAAAATATTTGTATAAAATACAATAAACCAAAATAATACCATTCTATACACCATCAAATATTCCACACATAACACTTCCCTACATATTTTTAAATATCCAAAATTTTAGGAAACATATCCCCTACTCTCCACTACAGCAAGTGCCATTTAATTTGGCGTCATAATCTGGACTTCAGTCCAGTCCAGATCCGGTGGCGAGTGGCACATTCCTTGAGCGCAGAGGGACCCTCAGAGACTTGTGGGGCGACCACCTACTGCAGGGCCTTGTCCTCCAGCGTGTCGTTTCTCTCGATATGGACACGGCTTGGAGTGGTTTGGGCCACTCGATGGTAAGACCAAAGAAGGCGCCCAGGGAGCTACGCCTCGATCCTACAATATTTGAAGGCACTTCAAGCTTAATCTTGATGGTTCCTTTTCACCGGGAAAAGTCTAACTTATCTCCCATCTATATGATACATGAATACGAATATTACGAGTTTATTTCCTAATCGAGATTAAAACTAAAAAAAAATAAAATAAAATAATAAATTAAAATATATATTAAACAGCTTAATAAATTAATCTAAATGGAATCTCATAAACATATGAAATTAGTCAGATTTGGTGAAACAAATTCGATTTTTACTTAAAGCTAGACAAAAAAAAAAGGAACTAAGAATTTTATAAAGCCCCGACCCAACCCCAGAGAATCCAGACATCCACACACCAGAGACCAGAGACCTTCTTAAATATAGTCCAGCATCCCGCTGACGATCTCAAAGGCATCCCGAGCTGTCGGCTCAATGGCGCTGCTGGGCAGCAGGTAGCCATGGACCCCATTATCCGCCAGCTGGATCGTATAGCTGAAGGGTATGCCGATCTCGTAGGCGGCAAAGGCGTCGGCGCAACCTGGAAAAACCAGCATGGAAATACTTACGGATAAGTGGATCGAATTTGAAGGAATCACTCTTACCAGAGCGCTGCTCAATCAGATCGTTGGAGGCATCCACTTTGTAGCGCGACTTGCTGCCCTTCTTTCGCAGGCCATCGGTGCCCACCATGGCCACGTCCAGGAAGTCATCCAAGAGCTCCGAATTGAATGTGGAATTGGCCTTAACTGGATAGGAAACCACTTGGCCATACGCCTGCAGGGAGATGTAGAGCTGAGGGGGAAGAGGGAACCGATCGATTGTAAGAGCCCAAGTCCAGGTAATATTCAGAAAACGAAGGAGAACCCAACCCCACCTTTATCTGTGTGCGTTGATCCATGAGAAAGTCGGAGACGGCCTTCGTCTCTGGTTCCGAGAAGGGGGCGGGCCCCGCATAGAACTCATTGCACGGCGCCTTGGAGCTGCCCCGCTTGCCCCAGTGGTACAGCCAGTTCCGGTCAAGATCGACGCCGTGGCATACCTTGTCCGGATCGCGTTTCTGTTGCAGCCATGTCATGGCCGAGTCGAGGAGTCCGCCCGGCGCTCGGGCCATATGCTGGGAGCGTGATTTCTTCCAGAACCGATCGTACTCGTGACTGTACGCATATCCATCGGGATTCAGGACGGGCATTATGTACCAGGTGGTGTTCCGTATGAGCTCTAGTTCTTCGTTGCTCTCTGGCAGATAGGATGGGAGTACAAACATTACAGAAATTGTATCTTTTGGGTGTGGAAATATATACATATGTATAAATGAAGGGAGTACGAGACCCAGGGCACGACAGCAAGGTCCTTGAAGGGAGTACTCGGTTGGCCAATCCCAAGCCCAGAACCGAGGGTTCTTAAGGCACGTCTGGCACTGAGACAAATGTGTCATCGATATGATACGGCTACTTAGTATTTAATGAATATAAGGTTCTTGTTGCCATTTTATTTGTACGTCCTTGTGATGTGTTCGATCAGTCGAACAAATCACAAATCTCCGACAACGCATCCCGGGTGGCCGGACCAGTTCGCCACTCGGTAGCAGCCAATCCTCACATCGTTGGCATCACTATGCGATGCCAATGCCAATCCTCTGACAATGCAAGCCAATACCGTAACTTGTGTTACCCAGCCACTTTAGAGCCACTTTAGAGTCTGCTACTACACATATGTACATATGTAGATAAGCAGTAGGCGCCACACTTATTGTATAATGTGCCATTTCAAATACAACTCTCTCATTTGAGAGACTGCCAGTTTTGTTCGCATTGTCGAACACAACACTAAACAAATCACATCAGAAAAATTCAGAAAAAAAAGAAAAAAACAATTTTCAAATTTCAATGGTCGAAATTGGGAGGCCTTACCAGTGACGCTGCCCCATACGATGGCCGTGACGTCACTCCAACTTCAAGAAGTCAGCAGCCATCTCCAACGACGAGGCCAGCCGCTACAACGACACTGGCCAACGAGCCAAAGCCAATACCATCGACAATGCATCCTGGGTGGCCGGACCAACAGCCACTCGGATGCAGCCAATTCCAATTAATAGGAAACCTACTTAAATTATAATGACTTAATGGTTCTGCTAAATCTGGTAAGAACAAATATTTTTGTATTATTACTGCCGATTTAATTATGAATTTTGTAAGCCTTTCCGTCTCTACGACCGTGGCAGACGAGCGTAATGGAAACGGAAGGAGGACGAAGGACGAAGCCGCATAGAAGAAACGCCTGAGCCATTGTTTCTTTTATTATTTTTTTTCCACATTTTGCTTTATTAAAAAAAATCCACTTTGTTCTTAAAAAGAATTCCGAAATAATATTTTTCAAAATTTAGAATTTTTGTTATTTTTATACCCGATTCTCAAAATGAGTATTGGGGTATATTAGATTTGTGGTAAAAGTGGATGTGTGTAACGTCCAGAAGGAATCGTTTCCGACCCCATAAAGTATATATATTCTTGATCAGCATCAATAGCCGAGTCGAATGAGCCCTGTCCGTCTGTCCGTCCGTCCGTCTGTCCGTCTGTCCGTCCCTATCAGCGCCTAGTGCTCAAAGACTATAAGAGCTAGAGCAACGACGTTTTATATCCGGACTTCTGTGATATGTCGCTGTTACGAGAATGTTTCAAAACTTTGCCCCGCCTACTTCCGCCCCCACAAGGGGCGAAAATCTGTGGCATCCACAAATTCAAAGATACCAGAAAACTGAAAACGCAGAATCGTAGAAGATGACTATATCTTGGAAATGCAAAATCTGAACCAGATCGTATAAATATTATAGGCAGAATCAAGAAAACAATTTCATTCTTTCTCGCTCTTTCTCTCTCTAACACACAGGTTTCATGGTCGGTTCTGCCAATTGCAAAATATGAGTTCAAGGATCTCAGAACCTATAAGAGCCAGAGCAATCAAATTTGGTATCCACACTCCTGTGATATCGGACCTTGACCGTTTTGTGTCAAAATTTCGCCACACCCCCTTCGCCCCCGCAAATGACGAAAATCTGGGACATCCACAAATCTCAGAGACTATTTACGCTAGAGTAACCAACTTTGGTACACACACTCCTTTAAGATCTCACTATAAAACGTATATCTCAAAATTTCGCCCCACCCCCTTCCGCCTCCACAAAGGACGAAAATCTGTTGCATCCACAATATTGCAGATTCGAGAAAACTAAAAACGCAGAATCATAGATAACGACCACATCTATCCGGTTGCGGAATCTGGATCAGATCGGATAATTTGTTGCTACGAAGCGCCCGACGTCACGCTCAGACTGATTTTCTGTCTCTCTCGCACGCACTCTTTGTCGTTTCGTTTAATATTAGCGGCGTCTGCCGGAGGAGAGCCATACTGACAAAGTATCAGGTATAACTGTAGAGTTGCGGTGTCCGCAGCAACTCACAACGTTCCCCTTCGTTTTTTGTTTTTTTTAGTGTCCCTACAACGCATCTACCCTACAACACATCGTACAATACTGTTTCCAGTGGGATAATCTGACAATGATTAATCGTTTTGAAATCATAGCAATATCCGAAAAGTGGCCTTTGCTTTAGTCGTTTCGGAGATTCCGTTGACAGAACCAAAGGATCAGTCAATCCCCAATCGCCCCAAGGGATAAACCTGCAACAAAAAACTTCAAACTGGGTCCGTGTACGGAGAATCCTGTGGAGTGCAAAAATAATGACAGACACAACTGGCTCTTGCCGTCAACCGGCGATGATGGACTACAGCCTGAGCAAGGCCATGCGCCACTTATGCACGTCGCCGTGTCCGTGCCAAAAGTGCAGGGCCAGCAGGATGTCGCAGGGCAATGGCGGAAGTCCCTGCAGACCCAGATCTCCTGCTGGCTACGGGGAACCTAGAGAAGCTCCCCCAGGGGGCAGCGGACTCAGCTCAGAATCCAGGCACATGAATACGTTGGAGGAGCAGGTGCCGCACGGCACTGGCGATTTGGTGGGCAGTGCGGACATGCGCTGCGATGAGACCTACGGTTATGGGACGGACTGTGCCTCCGGATTTACTAGTCGCACGCAGTCGGACATATACCTGCCACAGCAGGTGGCAAGCAGCGTGGCCCTCGCTGCACTTAGAGGCGGAGGATTAACAGGAGGGATGAGCGCGTTCGAGGACAGCGATTTTGGGGTACCAAGCGCTTCCGGCGGTGGCTTGAGCGGCTGCGGATCCAGAGAATACAGTTACAGTGCCACTGGGACTGTGGCCAGTGGATTCTATGGTGGCCGGGCGAGCGTCTCGAGAGCTGGCGCAAGCCTGTTCGGAAGAGCGAGCACCTTCGGAATGGCACGCGGTCGGGGTTTAGTAGAGACTGAAGACACATATGGGAGACCCCCCAATAACAACAACGGCCCCGCGGACTTCAATCTGTTTAGGAACCAACGAGTCAGTGACATTGTCACCTTCATCATTGAGATCATGGGCGTACTCGTGTAAGTATCTCTCAGATTCCCCTCTAGATCCCAGATTCCCGATCCCTAACTTGCCTCTCCTTTTAGGTTCTTTGCCATCTGCACGATCAGCTTCTGGATCACCCTGGGCTACTATGTCGTCAAGCTATTTGTGGACCTCAAGGATGCGGACAAGTGGGTCCAAACGGCAGCGGGCATCGTAGTGGGCGTGCTGCTGCTTGCCTTTTTTGTGACGGTGGTCACGAACCGAGAGGGAGGCTTCTGCTGCCGCGGGAAGAGTCGTGTGAGGGCCAACAGCAAGTGGACCCTCAACTGTTTTACTAGGCTCAAGAGCTTGCTCAACTTCTGCCCCAAGGCCGCGCCAAAGGCATGCAAGGCAGCGGCACCCGTCAAGCCACAAGCCGTATGCCCCAAGGCTAAGACACCAACAGGCGCCCAGTGTACAGCATCGAGCAGCATCATGTCAATGATTTGGCCCCAAAAGGTAAAGCCACTTCCGGGCAAGAAACCCATCAAATGCTGGCTGGGCAAATGCGACATCAAGGGCACCTCCTGTCCCAAAAAAGTGCGCTACAGCGACAAGCAGGGGCGTGCCATTTTCAAGAACTCCAAGCGGTATGCCATACCCTGCGAAATGAAGCAGCCGCCGGCATTGATCGTCTGGTTACATGATGTGTTTGCGCGCCTGATGGGTTACTAAAAGACAATATCGGATCCGGACAGCAGCAGGAACGGTAATTGGGGGAAGCGAAAAAACCCAAAATCTTGAGTTTAAATAAACATAATATTTGGCATTGAAAATGGTTTAAATGGAGGGATGGAATGGAAGAATGGGTCTAATGGGGATGGGATCCCTGAAGGACGAATCAGTAAAAGAACTAGTCACAGGTACATCGAGGCTCAGTACCGAGAAACCAAAAACAATACACATTGCTTGGACATGACACGGCAAGCTGATGGTCGGTGGTTCCACAACCGAATGGTTCCACAACGGAGTGCCCAAAAATACAATAACAAATTGGGCATATTATCTCCGAGATCGGGACCGATACTCTGTTCCAAGCATCGCTTTCGGTCTCGGATCCACAACAGGAAAGAGCTTGATCGAGAAAAGTTTCAGAAGTATCTTTTTATCCCATCAAATTATCATCGATTTATGGGAATAATGCCATAAGAGGAAAAGTGATCCACTCTAATCCAAAAAGGTCCACTAACCGTGAACAGACGATGTTCAGGGTTAGATCTATTGATCTCTATTGATTTCTAAATAGTGCTATCGAAATGGTATCAGTGGTAAGTATGCATCATGAATATGTCGATGTATCATCGATGTGGGATTCATAATGTATTATCCCATTCAATTATCATCAATTCTTGGGAATAAGGATGGTTTATAGTCATATGGCAACAAATTGAATGAATTGAAAATACCCAGATCCTAAGGGATCTGTATCAGATTCTACTCACTGTTGGTTTTCATCAGTCGCAGCAGCTCAGAGATCATCCAGGTGGCCGTCGCGGGTCCAATCCATGCCAGACCATGGGCTCCAGCCTCCACAAAGACGGCATTCGCCTGACCAGATTTCCTCTTACGCTTGGGTCTCTTGTAGCCCGAGGCCGAGGCATTGGCTGCTGAAGCAGATTGCTTGGACTCGATCTTGACAACGATCAGGGGACGGCCCTCGTAGGAGCGTCCAATGTGGATGAGCTCGACGAGCTGTGGATGCCTCATACGCATCGTTTCAAGGTACTGCACAATCTCGTCGTGAGTGTGATAGCGATTCCAGGTCATTCCAGGCTTTGCGACGCCCGTGGGCTTGGGCTTGGGCCTGGACGGACGCTGCAGTGAGACGGGTGTGGTGTGCAGATAGTCCTCCTTCGACTGCTCGTAGGCAATGGCCATGCCCACATCGAAGATGAGAACTTCATGGGCAATGCTCTCGTAGTTGAGAGTTCCCTGGAAATCGACCAGCATCTTGGGCGGCACTAGGACATCGGTGAGACCTCTGGCAAGGGATCGGGGTGTTTAATTTATGTTTTGGGCGTAAGCCTTTAAGGACTACTCTCGATCGATCTCTGCTCTCACCTGAGACTGGGGCCCTTGAGCCAGTGCATCTTGACACCGTCCTCGCCCTTCTTGAACTCCTCCAGTGCTCGCACCTGTGCCTCATCCTGCGGCTTGAGTCGCCAGATCTGATACTTGTCATAGCTTATCCTGCGCGGTATATCCGGCTTGACGGTGGTGGTCCCTTTGGTCGTCATCCTGGTCGTCATCGCGTTGCCCGTGGAGTTGACAATGTGATGGGCGAGTATCCCAATCCAGTTCTGGGGATTCCTCAACGGATCCACAATTGTCAGTATGGGCACCTGAGCGGCAGCAGACGGTTGGCTGGTTGTCGTCGATGTGGTGGTCGTTGAGGTTGTGCTGCGGCGACGCACTTTCCTTTTGGGCTTCGCATCGAACCAGCTGGAAAACCATTCTAGAAGGGAAAAGTGGATCGCATTTTCAGTTTGGGAGAGAGAGAGAGAGTGCAGAAAGCGTGACACTCCAATCGAATCAGAACGAACTCCTCCATCCACCATTTGAGGGTCAGACCGTTGAAACGAACGTTCTAGCTATTGATTCATGTGGGTGACTGGCTTTTGGATAGTTAGAAGAAGGAGGTTGCTTTCCCTCATGCCCAAGAATCTTTCCAAGGGGAAGGAATCAAGAAAAAAGCTCGTTACCGACCGAGGGGCACTGCCGCATTCCGCTGGACATACTTTTGGACTATTGAGATCATTTGAACATTAGATCGAGTAAAACCATTATTTAGGGATCATCAAGATTCTGTTTATGCTATTTGATGATGTAATATTGGGACTATCCAGCTCTCTATCCAGAAGAAGACATATAACACCATTTATCTAACATAGTTTGAATACTGTGGTATCTTTTCAACCATTAAATCATTTAACTGCCCATCGAACCGCGTCAATAAACTTGACCACTAGACTGAGAATTTTCAGAGACTTCCCTTAGTGGACTTGAGTCCAATTTCTTCGTTATAATAATGATGATCTAAGAGAACTTTGGATTTGGGAATGTACTCACTGTCATAGTCATCTTCGTCGGAATCCGTGGGCGTTGTTGTTGTCGTCTTGCCAAAGCCAAACCATGAGTCCAGCCAACCGGCTGGCTCTTGGGTGGGCGCCGGCAGTGGCACCACTGTGGTGGTGCTACCAATCTTCTTGGTGCGTCGTCCTGGTCCGAACCAGGAGCTGAACCAACTGCCCAGGGTGCTGCTGCCATCATAATCGTCGTCATCGTCGCCCTCATCCTCGTCGTCCTCGGGCTGGGCATAGGCCTCGTTGCTGTGGGCGCTATGGTAGAGCGTGTAGCTGGGATACTTGGGGGGCTTTGTGGGGTTCACCTTGTGGACCTCCTCCTCGTCCTCATCGTTGAACGATGATGGACCGCCAAAGCCCAAGTCCATCAGACGGGACATGGCCACCTGAACGGGGTAGAAGATCATGCGAAAGAAGCCACCGATGCCACCCGAATCATCATCGTTGTCGTCCTCCTCCTCGGAGGAGGAAGCGGGCGGTCGTCTACGGATGCGTATACGCTTCTTGGCCATGCTGTTCTTTGTGCTGGAAAACTGGTCCCCCTCCAGCAGCTCAGTGCTCGTTGGTGAGAGGGTCGTCGTCTCCGACTCCTCCATGGCCCCAAAGTCGGCTCCCTCCTCCGCCGAGCTGCTGTCCTCCTTGGGGTCCTCGGGGCTGCTACTGCTGGTAGCTTGTCCCGCCTGAGGCTCCTTTTCGTCACCATCTCCATTCTCATTCTCATCTTCGTAATAGTACGCATCATCCTCTTCGGTATCGTCATCGTAATCCCCGCCAGAAATTAGCTCGAATATATCAAAGTTCGAGCCCTCGGGACGACCGCGTCTCCTCTCCTTTTCCTTTGCCTTTGCCTTGGATTTTTTCTTTTTCTTTGGTTGGATTTTGATCTGATCTGGCTGAGGATGATGATTCTCCTTCGAGTCTGTACTGTGATTCCTGTGCAGCAGGTGGACAGCGTGTGGCAGGTGCAGCACTCCAGTGGCCACACCAGCGCCGCCTGCCGCACGATCACCGCCAACTTCTGGGGTTGTTCGCGGCTTTGGCTTGGATTTGCTTTTACTGCTGCCCTTGGGTCCCCTTGGCCTTGGGCTTCCAGATCCACCACCCCTTCTTCGAGCACCGGATGATCCTCCTCTCACGACTGTGGATGATGATCTGGTGGCTGCCCGTTGGACTGCTGCCTTAAGTGGTCCTTTTACTGTCGATCCTCTGACGAGTGTTTTTTTTTCCACTGCTGAAGATGATCCTGCTTTTGCTGCTGCTGATCCTCTTCCAACTGATCCTCCTAACCCGACGGCCTCTCCTCCTTGTAATCTCACTACCGATGATCCTTTTGTTGGTGATCCTCGAATGGGTAATACTTTTACTGCAGATCTTTCTGCAGCTGATCCTCCTACTGCCGCTCCTTTTATTAGAGGTATTTCCACGGTCGATCCCCTAACAACTGCTCCTCTTCCTACTGCTGCTGACCCTTCTACTACTGACGATCCTCCTGCTGCTTCTACCGCACCTTCTCCTACTCCTGCTGCGGCTTCTAGTCCTCGACGACGTCTCACATGGGAATGAGGATGCTGGGGATGATATCCCTGGTTAATCACATATGCATGCTGACTGAAAATATTCCCCGTCGATGTGGTGGCCTGCGGCATATGGGGCTTCTCCAGCTGTGTGGATCCAGGCGGCGGTCTCGTTGTCGTCGTGGTTGTTGTGCTGCTGCTGCTGCTCGGTCGCGTGCCCAGGATAATGGGTGGTGGACCTGCGGGTCGCTCAGTGGTGCTGTTACTTCTCCGCTTGTGTCCAGGCCGGCGTTTAATTGCCTTCACGGGACTCGGCTTCTTCTTCTTGCGCTTCTTTCGCCTGGTTGTGGATGTCTTGGGTCTCCGTGTGGTGGTGGTGCTGCTACTCTTGTGGTGAATCTTAAACACCTGATCGTTGATGGTGGTTATGGGTCCACTGGTCACCATCACCGGTGGCGGTCGATGCTGTGGCTTCGGCAGCTTGTTGGTGACACCACCCGGCCTCTTTTTGGGCTTCTGCAGCCGTATGATCTGTGGCCGAGCAGTCACTCCTCCTTGTTGGGGGCTCGGCTTCAGGTTCGGCGTGGAGAGCACGGTGCCCGGGGGAATGGTTTGCTGCTGCTGCTGCTGCTGCTGCTGGCACTGCTCCTCGTAGTGTTGCCGCAATGCCTGGATATCCGCATCATACTGTGCCTTGGTCACATAGATGGCTATGGCGCCGCCGCTGTCATTGCGGGGTTGAGATCCCTGGACACCTTGGGCACCCTCTCCCACTTGGCTGATGGCATAGACAATGCCTGTGGCAGGGTTGGTAAAGAAGATGGGGAAACTGGCTTGGGCGGAGGAGCCATTCGCTGGACGATGGTGATTGACGAATGGCCGCTGAGGCGTGGGATCCTTAATCTCCAGCAGCTGACTCTGCACATGCATCAGATCGGGCGCGGGTTGCGTATTGGTGGGTGCCTCTTCCACGGACTCGAACACATATGGCTGCTGCTGATCCGCATCCTCCTCCTGGCTAAACAACTGGAAATCCAGCTCTGGTGGCTCGAAGCGGATCGAGGTCTCTGCATGCTGATACCGCGGGACAAAGCGCTGCTCCATGCGCCGGCGATCGTTGGCGAGCAGCTCGCGATGCCACAGACTATCGAACTCCTCGGCGCTGGGATGGTAGCCAAAATCATAGGCCTGACAGAGGCCCCAGTCCCAGACCGAGAGACAGACCCAGAGGTTGGCCAAGAGCAGCTTGACCACCATGTGACCACCATAACGGCCACTTGATGCCATCACTCTCTCACTCTCTCTCTCTCGCTCGCTCACTCACTCTCTTTACCGCGCGACTCTTCACTTTAGAGCGGAGTTCTCTTCGAGGCGTGCGCGACCGTTTGGCTGCGAGTCTGGTTAATAAATGAAACAACGCGGTGGAGGCCCAGCCACAGCGACCCGGCGGCCAACGACGACGACGACAACAACTCAACCGGCAGCCCCAGCCCCAGCTCCAGCCCCAGCCCCAGTCCCGATTACTCTCAACCGGAGAAAGCCCCCTCCAATGGCCATTCTTTTGCCCTCCCCCCCACCACCCATCCAAAAGATTCGGCTGCTTGGCTTTTGGCCCCGTCGTAACGTTTCAGTGAAGATGATGGCACCGCTGCCATCTCCATCTACACTTCCACTCCCATAGCGCACACCAGACGCGCCTCCCTCCCTCCCGTCTACTTCAATGGAGACGACCTGTCGAATGTTCTCGTGGGGGAGGAGCATAAGGAGTGCCACTTAATGCCGCTTAACTGGCCTTGCGACAGTTATCGAAGCATTGCAAATTGCCGATCTAATCATAGATGACAGTTGTCTAACGACAGTGGCTCAGGCTCAGGCACAGTCACAGGCACAGTGGCACAAAAACTTCTCGAAATGGTACCCTACGAATTTTTTAACAAAATTTGTAAATGGAGTGGGAGTTTTTGAATGGGAGCTATTGTAAGATTGGAAAAAGAGTGTATTACCTTTCGGTGGATTTTTGATTTTCTATGAAGACAATTTCTTCTTTGTGGCTGTAATAATGATGCGATGGGAATCTTTTGGCCAACTTAGAAATGGGTTGGAGTGGGATTTACTATGCCATTGTTAGATTCGCGGAAAGTATGTGAATTTTCTATAAATATTGTCATTGAATATCTTAGGTCAAGAAGTTTGAATTTAATTCTGGATAAAATACTCATAAAATTTTCAAAAAATAGGACTATAGGACTCCAACAAAATCAGTCTAATAAGTTAATGTTTTCCTTGTTGATTTATTTAAATATGCATTTATATTATTGATTTTTTTGGAAATTGTATTAGATTGACTTTGCGGTTACTACCTATCTGCACCCGTACCTTATGTAGGGCTGCATTTAGGGCTCTATGACATAATTATAATTCCCTTTTGCCATAGCATTTCCACGGAAGTATCTCTTAAAATGATGGCAATTAATATTTACCATCATGTGGAATTATTTATTTTGTAACACTGTTTTCTTTCTCTGCTCTCTCCTATATGTATTGTTAATTCTATATAATTATTGTCTAATTCCATAATTAGCAGATAATTGTTAATTAATAAATAAATGAATAACGTAAAGATTGTACCAGAATTGCATCTAGATTTTTCGTAATTATGCTCTCTTATATTTTTAAATCTATTCTTCCAGCAAATTTTGTCCCAAGGTGCGCCTATTCTCTTGGCCCAAGAGTAAGTACTAGTATCTAAATATAAGCTTGAGATTGAGCTTGAGCTTGAGTGCGTCTTGAGGGGGGAATGAATCGCATGGTAACACGCGTGGATCCCAGAAGATCGCGCCAGATCGGCCCGGGTGGAACTCGGTCAGGTCATTTGACTGCCGCGGCTGCGGCGGCGTCAGCGTGTGGCATGCGGCGTGGGGCTTGTGGGGGCTCTGGCGGTGTGTCCCACTTAGGCGACACAACTCTGTGCTGCCTTTTTTGGGCGGTCGGGCGGTCGGGCGGCCGGCGGCGGCAGGATGCTGATGATGATGATGATGATGATGATGCTGGAAGCCAGCAACAGGTCGGACTTGTCCCAGTCCCGCTCCCAGTTCCCTATCCCCTGTCCACATGGAGGATATGTTGAGGGGGCTCTAACAGAAATGCAAGAGATGATCATCAGAGATCATCAAGTGATTCAAATGGGTTTGCAGAGGAGTGAATGGAATTCATTTGGAATGGACGTAAAACTCCATACATTCGTGGGAATGGAATGACAAAATATGGGACTGGCAATCCAATGGAATGAAAGCGAATCTATTGGATAGAATGAGTTCATTGGAGATACATAAATTTTAGGCAGACCATCGGAATGGAAGTACGAAACGATGAAAATCTTAACAGGATGGGCTACATCCTATGGATGATTTTAGGTACTTTGAATAAATTTAATGGACTGGAAGGGACTAAAGATTTCCACTTTGGATATGGTGACAAAATCTGAGCCCAAAAACCAAAACCACAAACAAAACCCCACATTTTTCACTTTCTACGCATTCTGCAATTAAATCTGATTTTGCGGCCCTTTTTTGTTTTTTGTTTTATTTTGCTTTTTTTCTGATTTTGTTGTTCACTTTCCCCTAAGGCAGTGACCCGCCCTCCGCTTAATGTTTAAGATACAATAAAATTTAAAAAAAAACCAGAAAAAGAAGAATATCTCTGGACCGAAGCTTTTGATACCCTTTCAAAACGATGTAAGATGTGTTCAGCCCATTATAAAAGTATTTTTAATAATTACAATACATTTTATAGTTTGTTATTATTTGTTTTAATTGTTATTATTCAAATTTAAAAAAAAAAGTAAGATGTGTCCTCGACCCGACTTAGATCTATTTTGGATGATCTTTCAAAAGTTTTTCTTAAATTAGCATGGATTTTTATTGATCGTTTGTATGGCAGCCATATTATGATATAGTCAACCGATGCGTCTATACCCACATCTAAATGTATCTATCTGTGCAATTGAAATACTGACAGTTTGCTAAAAATATCTTCAGATATCATTTTCGTTAATGATGATCTAGGAAGTTCCGAACCTTACCATCTATTTAATGTAAATATGAAATACCTAAAAAACACACGAAAATAAATATAATATATATATAAATTAAATTTGTAGGTTATATTAAATATGAAATAAATAATTTAAGCGTAAAATATATTTAGATGAGATAATTTTTATATTAATGGTAAAATGTTAGTGATTTTCCAAAACTATCGCTTGAAATTTTTAAATCGATTCTCAGGGATTTTCCGTCTGGGTCGAGGCTTCTTTTTCAGTAATACCCACTCGGTAAGGGTAAAGAAATATCAGGTAAAGCACAGCACAACACAGCAAAGAAGCATACTGTCCCCGGTAATTACAACTACTAAGACAATACTAAAAAAACAATAGCAGTTTGTTGGCTTTATGCTGTTGTTTTACTGTACTTACTGGAGCATTACTAAAAAACGTTTAACGTTCCACCAGCCAACGGCAATTGACAGACCAGACGCCCCAGACGGCGGGGGGGCTTTGGGGGCTTGGGGGCTTGACATTTAATAACAATAATCTAGAGAATAAGATTTACAACAAAAAGAAAAGAAAATATGAAAAAAGCATTTTAATTGCGAGTTTTCTTTTCGGTCGGTCTCTCGTCTATGATCTAAACAGAAGCCAAGCATGTCAGACATGCTCGTACGAGTATATTTGTATCTAAAAGATACACATCTCTCTCTACACACAGAAGCCCAAGAAGATGATCTAAGTATGTACCTGTTTTTGGGCGAGTCAAGACTTATTTGAAAGCGAAAGTCTCCATCGAAAGAACCTCCAGAGATTTGTGTATTCTCCAACTGCTGAAAAGAAGACTCTCACATCAATCGAACAACTCCCAAAAATAAGCAAACACCAAAAGACCCTTTGCCATCTCTATAATCTATGTGTTTTTCATAAAGGGAGAAAACTAGTTGGTAAAGTGCCTTAAGGTGTGTTCTTTTTTGGCAGATCTATAGGGATATTTGCTATATGCTATATGTTCATGTATGGGTTTCTTCTGACGACCCAGCCTTTTTGAGGGCGGATCCCGAGAAGGACAAGGCTCAGAAGAAACAGGCCATGGAGGAGTGTCGTAACCCGTCAGAGACGGAGAGTCCTTTGCTGTTCCAAACTTCGGCACCTTCTCTCTCTCTCTTCTGAGTACACCTGAAGAAGCCGTAGGCCGTCTCTGTTCCGAGTCCTGTCTCACGTTCTCGTGAGTAGAAGTACAAGCACATAAGGCTAACAAGGCACAGCATCTGCCTATGAATAAATGACATACTATGTATTTGTGTAAAAAATATACATATAAATTCTTACATTTATGCACATATGTATATTATTTTTGTGATTGGTTTATGTGCTGTCAGAGGGTTTTATACTCCATAATCAGCATCGACAGGTCTGCCATCTGTATAAAACTATGGATAGACTCTTCCCTCTGGTTCCCTGGAAGATCGATGCACCTTAATGACACAACAAACTTCTCGTATTTGCAAATCTAATAAAATCAAGTGTTCGTCTCGTGACAGTGGAAAATTTCCACGCGTTCACTATAATTAGCAAAATGAAATGTGTGTGGGGTGGTTTCCTTAATAAGAAAAACGAAAACAGAACGAAAACAATATGAAATTGAAATTGAAATGGAAATGAAAATAGAATGCTGCCCCCAGAAGGCAAATCCAATGATAGAAATGTTTAAGAGATCATAATTTAATATGATAGCAGTTCATTGAGGATCAGATCCATTAGCAGCAGTTCAACGACATTTAATGAAAATTCCTCAACACACATTTTCTTCATTCAACATTCACATTCATTTCATTTGTGTTTTGACAGAATGATGAAGATCTCGAAAATGAGAGAACAAAAGTACGATATAGACGAAGATATAGATAGGCAGATATTTACATACATATGCATGTGTGTAGATCCACTCACGTTCTGGCTCGTTGGCTGCCTGACCCAAAATGCGATCTTGGCAAGGGCAATCAGAATTCCGTGGTTTGCCGAAAATAAATATTATTCCTCTTGCCGCACCAGATGATTGTCTTCTATCATTCAAATCGTGCAAAATCACGGTACAATGTTCGATTCCACAGAACCAAAGCGAGTTATAACATATATGTACATATGTAGACACACTTTCGTATCCACGTATTATCCATGTATTTTCTGTTCTCTTGTCAAGGTCAGGGACAGCCCCGCCCGCACCTCCAGGGTCAGCATC